AACAAACCAAAAACTATGACATTGAAATTAAAAGGTAAGGTTGCATTGATCACTGGAGGTAGTGCAGGCCTAGGGGCAGCTATCGCTCGTCAATTGGCTGCTGAAAATGTTAACTTAGCAATCAATTACAACAATTCCGAGGAAAGAGCAGTGAAACTTGCTGAAGAACTTGCATCTGAATTTGGGATTAAAACGGTTACTATAAAAGGAGATATATTCGACACTTCGGTGGGGTACAAATTAGTGAATGAGACTGTGGATAAATTAGGTGGACTAGATATAGTTATTTCGAATGCCGGCTGGACCAAAATAGTCCCTTATGACGATTTGGATGCATTGGATGATGAGTTATGGGATGGATGTTTTACTGTCAATGTCAAAGCTCACTTTTACTTATTTAAGGCGGCAAAAAAGATATTTGATCAAAATGAAGATGGTGGAGCCTTTATTGCATCTGCATCGGTAGCTGGGCGTATTGTATATGGTTCAAGTATACCATACGCAGTAAGCAAAGCTGCATTAATTCATCTTGTCCGAATGCTTGCAAAAACCCAGGGACCGAAAGTGCGTATACACGCTGTATGTCCTGGCCTCTTGTTAACAGAGTGGGGCCAAAGGTTCTCACCAGAGAGAATAGAAAAGACTAAAGATATGTCTCCTATTAATACATTGGCTGACGTAGATGAGACAGCAGCACAATTTGTTTTACTTTCAAAGTTGTCTACTTCTACAGGATCGATCGTCTCTATGGATGGTGGAATATCTATTTAGTTTAACACTATGTGTTTTTTTAAAGCACAGACAAACATTTTTGGTTAAATATATAATTTCTAACTTATGTAATCTCTAGTTAAGTTATAAAAGCAGTTGTTTAATCATCGTCATTTTTAAACTTAGGAAGATATAATGGTTCATAATTTGATCCTACCATAGACTGGTATATTGGTCTGGAATGTAAACTTCTCAAATCCAATAATTCAGGTTTTAACTCATCAAGTTTGGAAACTCCAAGTAACTTCATGTCTCTGGCTATTTCATCTTTCAATAATTCACAAGCTTTAACTACTCCCCTTTTACCATAAGCACTATTTGCGTACAAAAATGATCTTCCAAGACCAACTCCTTTAGCGCCTAAACATAAAGCCTTAATAACATCACTTCCTCTTCTGATCCCACCATCGATATAAATTTCAATTTCATTCTCTAACTTTTTTTCTCTCAAGACAGGCATAACATCAGCTAAGACCTCAATAGGTGCTCTGGCAAAATCAAGTTGCCTACCACCATGATTTGACAATACTACACCATCTACTTTATGTTCAATGGCAAGTAGAACATCCTCCACACGTTGGACACCTTTAACTACAATAGGCAAGTTAGTCGCTTTCTTGAATTTATCAATATCATCCCAGCATAAACCAGCATCTTTATACGAAAGAATGAAGTCGTCACTACCTGAAGTTTCGTCACTTTCATCGTCATCAGTTTGTCCTACTTTGAATCTCAAGTCCTTTTCTCTACGACCAAACAAAGGAGTATCAACAGTTACAAAGATACCTTTAATTCCCTTTTTCTCGCAAGCTTCAAGCATCTCATAACTCAGGGTTCTATCCTTATGCACGTATAACTGGAACCATTGGGAGGTTCCCTTTTTCGCAAATTCACTAATTTCATCGAAGGAATATGAAGCAGCACTTGAAATCATCTGAATAATATTCTCTGATCCACATCCCTCAGCAATAGATAATTCACCATCAGGATGACCAAGCTTTGCAGCAGCAGCAGCAGAGCAGTAGAAAGGAGCGTCAGTCTTTGTTCCCAACATTTCAGTAGACATGTCAATGTCAGATGTATCAATCAAGACTTTTGGGTTAAAAAAAATTCTAAGGAATGCGTTATTATTTTCCCTCATAGTAACTTCATCATCAGACCCTCCAGAATAGTACGACCAAGCACTCTTTGGGAGAATTGCTTTAGCCACATATTCAAAATCGGATAAATTGAACATCGCAGCCAATGGTGGTTTGTTTTCTATTCTCTCGAGTCTTTCTTCGTCGTTATCTTCAGTGATATCAGCTGCCTTTTCCATTTCTCCTATCAATGGACCTAAATAATTTTCTGGTGATAAGTATTTGCTAAACACATCTTTCGCATGAAACTTATTGAAAATAAGACTAGCATCGCATCCCGCATAGTGCTTGATAATATCCGCACCCCCTGGATGTTGCACTAAGAAATCAGTTAAGTCATAAACCTGTCCATTAAGTGCAACCCATATTTGATCAGAACTTGCATCGTGAGCCCTCAATTCTTCAACTGTAACACCTTTTTTCTTCTGTGAGTCCAATGCAATGTTATCGTTCTGGGAAAGGAAAGCTGCAATTGAACCTAATAAAATGATACTAGGTACCCATACCCCGGACTTTATCTTACGGCCTTGATTCAACGGAGACCTGAAAGCTTTAGTACTGAAACGAAGTCTCAGTCCAAAATTGAGCTTACCGCAGTGCCTATGTTTGAAAACAGAAGTACGTAAACCAATCATTGCTTCTCTTTCTTTACTTTGAAGGATAGAATTTGCAGTTTCACCAAGCGAAGAGTGTCTATTTAAGTAACACTGATAGCCCCACTCGAATTTGACGTTTTGAGCTGCGGACGAACAATCGAACGGGGAAACGAAAAAAATTGATTTTACAAATTATTAATTGAACGACTTTTATTGAATATGATATATGCACCACCAGTGAGCGCGCATTCTACGATAGATTCATGATGGATCTTTAACTTACCCTTTCAATGTCTTTTAGGTTGTATAGTAGATTAATGCAAGACATTAGTTATTTAATGTTGCTTCATAGATTTACCGAATTTCTCAGACTATGCTCTCATTTGGATGCTATGGATTTACATTAAATAACCTTTTAAAAAGTTCAATGATAAACAACTTTGAAAATCAAGACAATAAGTAGCAGAAAATACACAGGCTAAAGTTTATTTTGATTTTTGGGACAATTCATGCTGTACGGCCAATGATTCTGAAATACTTTAATATATACATGTGAATTTGAATAGGAACTAGAATTATCAATTGACCAACAAATGTAACGATCTGATAGGAATTATTGGCTGATAATCTAGTTCTATTGTTTCTTAAGAAAAGTGGTACATAATGCGGCTCTGTATAATAGTTTTGCACTGAAAATTAACGGATCAATAACACCGAACTTTAATACTAATAAATTTGCGGGGCAGAAAATAGATAATATCAATTGACTTCGACGGGTGAACAATTTACTGGGGTACTTAATTTATTCAGAAGTATGACAAGAGTAACTAATTCCTCTGCTAATATGGTGCAGAAAGATAAGCATAAGTTTGTACTCATTGAAGATGCTAAAATTTCACGATCGTGTGATTTCTGTAAATCAAAAAAGGTTAAATGTGATGGAAATAAACCTAGTTGTAACTACTGTATAAACCACGGTAAGTATTGATTCGAACATAGTTCATTAGTTTCTAAACTAACGCAAAATCTAGAAGAAAAATGTGTTTACAGTCAAATGAAGAAGCCTGGTCTAAAAGCCGGTTACGGCCAACAGGTGTTTGATAGATTGTCTAACCTCGAAGGATCTTTCAAAATGGCTACGGCGCATTCGAAAAATGAAATAGAGACGTTGAAAAAGAGAATCAGTTTATTTGAAGACAAGCTTAGGAGCATTGATCACCACAATATCGTCAGGAATGGATCGTGTGAGGGAGCTTTGGGTTTAGATGCGTCAAGGCAGAACTCAGTACTGAACCCAGAGCCAACACCGACATATGAAACTGGCTTTAATGCAATTCAAGATTATAAAAGTGTACAGGGCTCTATGTTACCACCCGAAAATCAAATTATAATGTTGATAAATATATATTTTGAAAACGTGAGCCCAATATTTCCAATTTTATGCCCTACAAATATGGTTCCTAAATTGCTTGAGCATAGTAGAGATACTACCGAGCCACTTTTATTGGGAGTAATATTATGCTCCTTACGATTTGCAAGTTCTATTATGTCAAGAGAAGAAGTTAAAAAGTATCATAATTATTGTAAAGGTCAAATTATTTCCACCTGTATTGGTATGAATAATATTGAACAGCTTCAAGCAATGTCACTACTTGCGTTTGATTTATTTGGTAAATCAAATAATCCTGAAACTTGGAGTTTCATTTCATTAATATCCTCAGGTGTTGTCCATTTGAATTTGACGAAGGAAAGAAGACAAACTCAACAAATAGTAATTCCAAGTCCTGATCAAGAAACTCGTAAAGACCATGATAAACAACTAGAATCTAGAAAGCGTGCTATTAAGAATGTCAAGTTGTTGAAGTCACCTATCGATTGGTTTGAAGAAGAGTCCCGAAGACGCTTATTTTGGGAAATTTATATTTTAGATAAGTTATCAAGTGTTTCAAATTCGTTCCCTTTCAAAATACCAGAGACTGAAATAGACTGTTTATTACCTGTTGAGTACGATTCATGGATAGCTGATCGAAATTATACAAACGATACTACAATCCGCAATTCCCAACGCAGAATTTTAAATGATGGTATCATCAAGGCAAATATGCAGAATGATTTGTTTATTAACGATAACATTTATGACTCAACGTGCTTTTTAATTGAACTAATACACATATTGGGTAAAATCCATACATTTATGAGACACCCGATAGACATTCAAATCTTGAAAGATGTCTTAAATTGGCAAATGAAGTTTTCAGAAATAGATAATGAAATTCAGAATTGGAGGAAAACTATTCCCCAAAGATATCTTAA